GATTGCTTTGGCTATTCAGGGTTTTTTGTGGTTCCATTTGAATTTTAGGATTTTTTTTCTATTTCTGTGGAAAATGCCATTGGGATTTTGATAGGGATTGCATTAAATCTATAGATGTCATTGGGGAGTATGGACATTTTAATGATATAATCCTTCCAATCTATGAACATGGTATATCTTTTTACTTATTTTGTGTCTTGTTCAGTTTCTTTCATCACTGTTTTATAGTTTTCACTACATAGATCTTCCACCTCCTTGGTTAAATTTATCCTAAGTATTTTATTGTTTTTGATGCTATTATAAATTGAATTACTTTCTTAAGTTTTTTCAGATAGTTCATTGTGTACAGAAAAGTAACTGCTTTTTGTATATTGATTTTGTATCTTGCAATTTTACAGAATTTATTTATTCTAATAGTTTTTTTGGTGGAGTCTTTAGGATTTTCTAAATATAAAATCATATCATCTGCAAACAGACAATTTACCTTCGTTCTTTCTGATTTGGATGCCTTTTATTTCTTATTCTTGCCTAATTACTCTAACACTTCCAGTACTATGTTTAATAGAAGTGATTAGAGTGGGCAACCTTATCTTATTCCTGATCTTAAAGGAAAAACTTTCAGCTTTTCACTGTTGGGTATGATGTTAGCTGTGGGTTTGTCATATATGGCCTTTTTTTTATGTTGAGGTATAGTTCTACACTCAATTTGTTGAGGGTTTTTTTTTAATCATTAAAGAATATTAAATTTTGTCAAATTTTTTGCATCTATTGAGACTATTGTATGGTTTATGATAATGTTAATGTGGTGTATCATGTTTATTGATTTGTATATGTTGAACCACTTTTGATTCCCAAGGATAAATCTAGCTTGATCATGGTGTAAGATGCTTTTAATGTGTTGCTGAATTTGGTTTGCTAGTATTTGCTGAGGGTTTTTGCATCTATGTTCATCGAGGATATTGGCATGTAATTTTCTTTCTTGAAGTGTCCTTATCTTGCTTTGATATGAGTTGAATGCTGGCCAGTAAAATGAATTTGGAAGTGTTCTCTCATCATTTTTAAATAATAACTCCCCAATTCTGTCTGATTCCAAAGTTAATGAGTGCTGTTAGGTACCATTATTGTCTGATTTTTTCCTAGAAGGAAATTGAGGAAAAGAGGCCCAGGAAGTTAATTGGTCTAAAAATATGCAGCTGGTAAAGAGCAGTGTCAAGATTTCAGCCCAGGTTACTCTGCCTCCTATACCTCTGTTCTTAACCTTTACTTACATGATGGGTACAATATTGGGTTATGGCTTCTCAATTTTTAAAAAATATTTTTATTGATTTCAGAGAGGAAGGGAGAGGGAGAGAAAAATAGAAACATCAATGCTGGGAGAGAATCATTGATCGGCTGCTTACTGCACGCCACCTACTGGGGGTTGAGCCTGCAACCTGGGCATGTGCCCTTGACTAGAACTGAACCTGGGACCCTTCAATCTGCAGGCTGACACTCTATCCACTGAGCTAAACTAGCTAGGGCAGCTTCTCAATTTTAATAGGACTTTTCAGTCCCCGGATCTTTTCCTTAATAATCATATTTTTTTTAATCTTGCTGGCACCTGGGACAAAATTAGATAGTACTATGATGACAGTTCATTAAGGTTACTGCTCTTTTTTGTCTTTCAAATAACAGTATATTATAAAATCAAATATTGATGAGCAGAATGGTGGTTATTAGGGGGTTGGGAGAGAGAATTAGGAGAGTTGTTCAATGGTATAAAGTTATCCTATATAATAAAAGGCTAATATGCAAATTGTCCCCTCGGGAGTTCGATCGACCTGGAGTTCGACCGACCGGGAGTTCAACTGCTCACTATGACATGCGCTGACCACAAGGGGGCAGCATGGAATGAAGGAAGGCCCCAGCCAGCGGCCAGAAAACCCCAATGGGCCCTGATCACTGGCCAGGCATAGGGACCCTACCTGTCCACGAATTTTGTGCACTGGGTCTCTAATTAAATATAAGACAGGAAGAAAAAAAAAGAAAGCTTATAAGTTGGCTGGTTGGAAAGAAGAAAAGAGAGAAGGAAGAAAGAAAATATCAGATCATATCTGATTATAGCAATTTATAATCTAAAAGTAAAAATCTTAAAATACAATTCCTTCCAATCAAATCTAGCAGCATACTATTTTAAGACATATATATCAAGACTAAGAAAAATCTATTATAAAAATGTAAGGTTGGTTCAATACCCATTATTGACTTTTAAACTCCCTCTACAAGCAATGGGAGTACTTATCCTTAAAATGACAAAAACACTCTCTCAAACAACATGGAGAACTTTGAAAAAAGCAGAAGTATTTATATTCAAAATGAAGACATTAATCCCCATTATTTTTACTATTTTAAAATATTTTTATGTAACCTCTAACCTCACAATGCAAAATTGAAAATAATACACTGTAATAATTGAAAAATAAAGAATATACCCTTTTCATTTTTGTATTAAATACATTTATCTCCCTGGTAATTACTTGGTAATCTATTTAAGCTAGTTCTATTCAATAATGTTAATTGTTTAAAAATGTATAAAAATCACAGGGTTGGACCTGGAGATTATTGAGCTAAGTGAAATAAGCCAGTCAGAGAAAGACAAATACCATATGATCTCACATATGTGGAAAGAGTGGGAATCTTGAGGAGCACTTAGGGAGTCATGTCTCTCTAAAGAAAGGGGAAGTAATAAGAGATGTGGCTGGAAAAGCAGTTTCTAATAATATCATGAAGTTCATTAACTACTAAGGAGAGCTACTGGAGATAGAGTTCAGAGGCATGGAGAGGTAGTTACTCCATAGTGACAGCCAACAAATCCTGATGGCTTAAACTCTGTCAGGCTCAGCCGGGATGGAAGGAGGAAATAAAAATTAAAAACATTTAATGGACAGAAATGCATAGCATTTGGCAAGGACAAGAAGGAAGTAAAAGAGGAGGTCAGAGATGGTTCAAACTTTGATTTTCTGTTAGGAACGTATACAAAGGAAATACAGCAAGAGAAATGGGTGTCAGAGGCAAGATGATATTTTGGGGACAGGTTAAGAAATAACAGCCAGAAACCATTTTAATAATTACAAGCACAAAATGATGTTCTGAATCCTAAAACTGTGCACGAACATGGATAATACATGTGGAACCAAAGCAGCAGTATGCGGAGCTCCCATAGTGACAGCCAACAAATCCTGATGGCTTAAACTCTGTCAGGCTCAGCCGGGATGGAAGGAGGAAATAAAAATTAAAAACATTTAATGGACAGAATGCATAGCATTTGGCAAGGACAAGATGGAAGTAAAAGAGGAGGTCAGAGATGATTCAAACTTTGATTTTCAGTTAGGAAGGTATACAAAGGAAATACAGCAAGAGGAATGGGTATCAGAGGCAAGATGATATTTTGGGGACAGGTTAAGAAATAACAGCCAGAAACCATTTTAATAATTAAAAGCACAAAATGATGTTTTGAATCCTAAAACTGTGCATGAATATGGATAATACGTGTGGAACCAAAGCAGCAGTATGCGGAGCTCATTAAAACACAGTTCATATGAAACAACACCTCTGATCTATCTAAACCAAGTGACTTTAACTAAACATTTGAATAACAACAGCTGGCTGTCTTTTAAATTTCATCTCCCACTCAGCTTCTCTTCTCAACCCTCTATAATCTGACCTCCGCTCCCAGCACTTAACTGATATTGCATGTCAAAAGATTATAAATGATTTTCTCACTGCAAATCCAAAGAGCACTTAAAAATTATTTCCATCAACATTGTATCCTATATAATAAGCCTAATATGCAAATCGACCGAACGGCAGAACAACCACTATAATCTGACCTCCGCTCCCAGCACTTAACTGAAATTGCATGTCAAAAGATTATAAATAATTTTCTCATTGCAAATCCAAAGAGCACTTAAAAATTATTTCTATCAACATTGTATCCTATATAATAAAAAGCCTAATATGCAAATCGACCGAACGGCAGAACAACCAGTGGAACAACCAGTTGCTATGATGCACACTGACCATCAGGGGGCAGATGCTCAATGCAGGAGCTTCCCCCAGCCTGCAGACCACAGGCCAGCCAAGGCAGGGGCTAGCGTGGGCCCCCTGATTACCCCCCCAGTCACCCTGCAGAGGGAGGCGACTGGTGGCAATGGCGGGGGGGGGGGGTGGCGGGCGA